AACGAAGCATTAACACATGTTAGACTGCACCCCATGAACACAATCAAGCCTAGAAAAAACCCAGTGAACCACCTCTTTAATGGAAATATTGGCACCAATAAACCTTTATTTTAAGAGTGTAGACAGACAGTTGACGTGAACAAAGGAAAAGATCAGTATTCATTTATCTACTATTTCATTACTGGAAGAGGAAATACACTCTTTAAAATTAAAAGTTCCAAAACAAGGTTTTTGCATTGAATGCCATTGAAGAACCATTTTTGGTTCCCCAAAGAACCTTTCAGTTTTTTTTCTTAGTGTGGACAACATTTTAATAATCTATACAACCTTTTTCCGCTGTAATGAACCTCTTGTCCAAAGGAAAGGTTCCATGGATGTTAAAAGTTCTTCTTGGGACCATCGATGCCAATAAAAACCTTTAATTCTAAGAGTGTATCAAACCTTTTTCCAAGATAAAGAACCTGTAGTGGTTCAATGGATGTTTAAGTTCTTAATGGAACACTTGGGCCCAATAAAGAACCTTTATTTTTAAGAATTCACACACTCTTAAAAATAAAGGTTCCATAAGAGGTTTACCCGAAGAACCTTTCAGTGATCAGTTCTTAAAAGAACCATGTTTTCTTAGTGTGAAGAATATTTGAATACTGTTTTCCATTTTAAAGAACCTGGTTCTGTGGATGTTGAAGGTTCTTAAATGGAACAATTAGTGCCAATAAAGAACACTTTAAAAGTTCCAAAAAGAGTTTTTTGTTTTTTTTTTGCATTGAATGCCATTGAAGAACCATTAGTGAACCATCCTTTCTTGGAACATTTTAATAATGAACCATTTTCAACTATGAAGAATCTTAAATGGTTCCATAGATGTTGAAGGTTCTTATTGGAACCATTGGCGCTAATAAAGAACCTTTCTTTTTAAGAGTGTAGACAGACGTCGCCGTGAGCGGAGCGGAGATCAGTGTTCGTTTATCTACTAATGTTCCACATATGTAGCAGATATGAATATATTCTAGAAGCACTGTTTTTAAAAAATACAACTCAAGTCGTCTGGTGTGTGTTCCAGAGGTGTTTAGCCGTTTAACGTGTTTATTTACGCACACGTATGTGCAGAGGCTCATTAACTCACACATTAAAGTCTATTGCGTTTGGTTTGATGTCATCAGCGCTGCTCAGACTGAATTGTGTGTTAGATACTGAACACCACTAGACTGTACATAATAATGATAATAATGCAGCGTGATTTTTATATTGTCAATAAAGGCATTTTATTAAAATCTTTTGCAGTGTGAAAACTTCAGGAGATGTTTATTTCATTTATAATTCGGTAACACTTTACAATAAGGTCCAATTAGTTAATGCATGAACTAAAATTAACTAACAATGACTGATACTTTTGTTGATGTTTGTTTTTACTGTTCATTTAGATAAGTAATGTTAATTTAAACATCTACTAATACATTATTAGATTCAAAAGTTGTTTCTGTTAATATTAGCTAAGATTATTAAATGCTTTAGAAGTATTTTCTTTGTTTGGTCATGTTAATGTTACTGTAAAGTGTTGCCTATAATTCATTTGAACAATTCTCTGTGAAATACCCAATATAAACAGAATCTGGATCTGATAACTGAAACCAAATCAACTAATATGAGTTCATTCAAATTAAAGCAACACAACATGACATTTAGAGCTTCATGTTCACAAAAGCACTTTCACAAATAACATTGATCAATATTTTTGAACAAAACTTATACTCCGTGTGCTTGAACTTACGGTTCACTTCAATTGTTCTGCGGAGTGACAAATGAAGTTATAAAAAGTACAAATATTCCATGTAGTCTCACAAAAATAATCATAGAATTTGCAAAATACTGTAAAATAGACTACATGTCCACTACCCAGAGACAGCTGTGCAATAATTATATATACATGAATATTTATTAGAATGCATAGTGTCCAATAATAAGTATACACTAAAATTAGTAACACATGTTTTGGGCATATTCTTGATACATTGCCCAGAATCGTTTGATCATTAAACTACTAAAACATCACTACAGAGGTATTTCTGTTCAAACGGCGTTTCCGCGTCCTAACGGCCAATAACAGCAAATCCACATGAGATGGACATCTTTACAGTGGCATGCGAAAGTTTGTGAACCCCTTGCAGAATCTGTGAAAATGTGAATAATTTTAACAAAATAAGAGAGGATCATACAAAATGCATGTTATTTTTTATTTAGTACTGTCCTGAGTAAGATATTTTGGATAAAAGATGTTTACATATAGTCCACAAGACAAAAATAGCTGAAATTATTAAAATAACCCCATTC